AGAGGGGGAGGGAGGTCTGTGGGGACAAACAATACCCAGAGATGCTGCACATTGTCTCTGTTGTCACCGAGCATGGCAGGTTGATGCATTGCACTGCTGGACCAAAAGACAATTCTGCGAATGTGAACAGTCTGGCATATCTGCATATCAATTATTTGTGGCTGCCATAAATACGGTTTAATGGAACTGTCAGTGTGTGCCATCGCATATTAACTGAGCCTGGAGCTCAGCTGCAGCTGGTTGATGCTGGCAAACAATACACTGGCCACATCTGCATCCAGGTGGAGCCCAGCACCAAGTGGAGCAGGTGATTTAGGAGACCTGCACCGACTTGATAATGAATAATAGGTGTCTGGAAAGACTGGTGTTCTTTATACTTCCTAGGATTTTCATTTCAACCACTAGCCTGGCTTTGTCCACCGAGCTGAATACAAGAATAGTGAATATACACAGACTAAAGATTGTGTGCAATTAGTTGGTACACCACTAAATATTTTGGTTAAAAACAACCTGACTCCGAGGAGAATTTGAAAACTGGTTGCTTTTGATGTAAAAATGCTCTCCGGCATTCATTATATTTTTCCATTTTCAAAATCAGATCACACAGACGAGCCTATCGGTGGGAGCAAAGCTAATCGTTCTACTAAACTGGGAAGAAACTTCTGAACGTACGGCCCACTTTTCTGAGACACTTGTGGGGTTCAAACTTCTAAGGTCAAAAACAAAAGCAAACTTTTCACAAAGCTAATTGTGGTCAATAGTGGCTGTTATGTTGAGCAATTAGCTCATCAACAGAATCAATGCCACAGAAAGATGAATTATTTCAGGTCCCTGTGTCACCAAGCATTTAGAATAGAATAGAATAGAATAGAATAGAATAGAATAGAATAGAATAGAATAGACTTTATTTATCCCAGACCTGGGAAATGATTTTAAACAGTACAGTGCAACTATGAAGAGTTTATGTTGGTCTAATAAAGACCATTTGCACCAAACACCTGGAGTTCTCTCCTTGAGTACGACCCTTCAGACTTAATTTCTCCTTAACTGAGGGACCTGCTTAAGAATGTTGAATCCTTTAATAGGTTTCCTGAGTTAAGGAAAACTATTAGGCACTTGTTATATATATGTATAATGAAGGCTAGATGTCTCGTCCGTGCTGCCGGCCAATGGAATCGCACGGCCACACTGGCGGCCATCTTGGCACGGTCAGCTCGTTCACCCATAACATTGTGTTGTAGCGGTGCATGTACGTTTTAAATAACCATAACAGTTTGGTTTGTTATAAACGTCAGAGGTAAGAAAGTAAGTAGGCAGGAGCCGCTGCAACTGGCTGCCACCGGCTGCCACCGTCACGGCCAGCAACAATTAGTATTTTAATGATTTTGTATTTTATTTGTATTTTTGTAATTTGAATTGTGGCCACGTTTAAAACGCTTGTAAGAAACCAAACCGTTTGTAAATCCGTCAAGATGTCAGCGAGATAAGAGTACGTTTGTGCAGATCACTCACCTTCCTTCACGTACCACAGAGAGCTTGCTCGTGTCAAGATGGCCGCCGGTGATCCCGTCCCAGACTCCACCTTAAGACATCTCGCCTTTATTATACATATCTGTGCTTGTTAGTGCCTCCCAAAGGTACCTCAAATGTATTTTGGTCTTTTGTGCAATGGTTTTAACTGTAAGGGATTTCTTCGTATGTATTAGTACATCGAAGGCCAAAGATAAGAAGAAAAACCTCCTTTTCCTCCTCCTGAACCTTCTACGGCCAGAGAAGGAGGCACGACGCTCACAAACTGAGACCCCACAACATTTAAACCGAACATGCAGTCATACAGGGCGGCATCAAGGGAGAGAAAAAGAAATACAGCGCAGCATTAGCCTTCATCCATCTTTTCTCCCTCCATCCATCCGTCTCTTCTTCCCTCTGCTCCTCCAACAGGCAGCCCTCCTCTTCCCCCCAGGGTCTCTTCAAGGCCCCCATTATTCCACAAAGCCATAAATTCTAAGAGTCAAACCGGCAGAGGTCAGGGCTGAGAGTCAGAGGGCTGGACGGATATTCCATCTTATGAATAAAGGCATAATCTAGAAGAAGATGAATACAACATGAAGCGCTTATACAGCCACTGCTGACCAGATTCTACGTTACTGATTCTAGAGCCACAGAAGGATTTCTAGTTTCTCCACCATACCTAAAGCCACAACTATGCTTCTAGAGCCGAGGAGAGCCCGATGAATACAGTACATCCACAGAGCTTTATGGATGCTGTATGTGTGTAGCTGACTGCACTTCATGTCTTCAATAAGCCTCAATGGTCTTAATACGTCCTGTGCTTGGTTTTTTCTTATCTTTACCCCGACCAGTTGAGGCAGACAGCCGCCTTATCTAAGCCTGGTTCTGCCAGAGGTCTCTTCCTGTTACAAGGGAGTCGTTCCTCTCCACTGTCGCAAATAAAAAAACAGTAAAATACATAATATACGATAAAACAAAACAAAAAATGATACACATGCAATAAAAAAATGTGGAGACAACCATGTCAGCGATCAACAGTGGCCCTCATCTACTCAACAAACCACACGTCTGCCAAACAAAAGCAGTCTTCTCTTGACAGTCTGGTTCCAGGTCTCGACTGTAAATCAAAGCCATCAGATCGTCATGCTTCATTCAGCACACAGATGCTCTGCTGCTGTCGGCTGCTAATTCAGCTGCAACCACATTACTCTCCTCCTTAATAAGGTTTACTGAGCGTCTGTCTTACCGAGCTTCACCCTCCTCCACCCACACAAACACCCTAATGGAGCTTGAAACAGGCATTGGCTTGCAGCGTGTGTGTGTGTGTGTGTGTGTGTGTGTATGTGCCTTTGCGTTGTGCAGTGTGTTGGTGCTGATTAATGAAGGCTGTGTGTGATTATGTGCACGCATGTTAAGGACTGCCGTTTTACGTCTGCCTGGAATTTAGGAAAAGTTCAGCGTGTGAAGGTAAACGTCCGTCTGTCTGTCTGAAAGTGTAAATGTGTATTTTGAAGACTGGTCATGTGCTTTACTTAGAAAAAACGATGATGTCTGTGTATGTGAAGGCATGTGAAGTGGAGATATTGTTTATTGCTGCTCATGTAACCAACAAGGCGGGGTTTTTTTTGTACGTATCATTTATGATGCAGGTTGTTTGATGGACATTCAGGTTATGAAAGCAGAAAACGTCTGTGTGTGTGGAGTATGTAGGCTAATGGTCTTCATTGTGTTGGAGTTAGAGTAGGAGCCACACTCATTAGGAGTCTTTTAAAAAGCTAATTGGCTGAGCCAGTAAAGGTCAGGAAGCCCAGCAGGAGGCAGACAGTGATTCAGGACATTCTGCTTCATAATCTGACCTTCAAACGTCTGTGCACATTGTAGTTAAGATACAGCCATTCCCCAGGTTCACTGCTCATTCCATCGAAATGAGAAGGAGGCGGTTTGGGTTGTGTGTGCATCTAAACACGTTGTAGCCCTGCAGCTGCTGCCTCTCATCATTACTCTACTTCACTCAGGGCGATGAGTGTCATGGAGTTTAGCCATGTTTTCTTTTTTTTTGATTTGTCATTGTGTAATGACCTCTTGGTCCCCTTTGTCATTAGTATTCCCTCTGGGCCAAAGTTCTGGGATTGCATTAAGGCCAGACTTACATAGCATTTGAATGACAGGTACAGTCGTCCTCAGATGTATTCACATCCTCCCATTACAGAATCAAAAGTCACTGAAATAAGTTGAAAGTGACAAAAGTTAGAATAAATAAAAATGTTATGAAAATCACGACGTTGCTTTTGAATTGTGGTTCAACAGAAATATTAAAAAAATAAAAAATAAAAATAAAAATCAAGCAAACAAGCATGACGGACCTTTAACCTAGTATTTAGTTGAACAACCCTTTGAGCCAATCACTGCCATCAGGTGTTTCCTGTAACTCTCAGTCAGACTTCTGCACCTGTTGACAGGTGTTCTGGACCGCTGCTCATCAGCAAAGGCCTCTCATGGGAGAGTTCTGGATGGGAGAGTTTTGTTTGTTTTTTTAATTGTTATCTTCAACCACAATTCAAAAGCAATGTCTTATTTAGCTAAACTATAATTTAGCAAATTTTTATTTATTATTACTTTTTTCAGTTTCTAGTTATTTGAGTGACGGTTGTGAACTTTCCCTTGTCTTTAATGGAAGGGTCTGAAGACATCTGAGGACGACTGTACGTGGTAGTGCAAACATTAATATGTTCACAACAACAATGATTTACAGCCATCATCTTAGTACAGAGTGTCAGTAGTTAATAGTTAAAGGCATCAGTGAGCTGCTGGTGACAAATGAAGGGATGGCTAATGTCAGAGCAACAGTTCATCTGTGGAGGCAGGTTGTTAAAAAAAAAACGTCCAACTATGAAATGTACACATTAATACACGAGTATGAACACAAACTATTTGCACTGCTGGTGTTTTTAAGCATTAAGAAATGTGATTCCACCGTATATTTAAACAGCTGAGCTCCACACAGCATCTCAGACGAATGAAACCAGTGGTAATTAACACCACTAACAACTAGTCAAATCAAATAAGATTTATTTTCCCAAATAAAACTGCATTTGTCTTGACTTACATGTTATATTGTAACAGCACCTGAAACGTTAAACCCTGTTCAAAACAGCAATATAAATATGTATCGGGAAATGAAACAACTGTACACATCTAACTGATTGATGGCGTTTGAGAAAATAATAAAAATGCTTTTTCTTGTTTGTTTTTTTTAAAATAAGACTTTACAAGACGATTCACAATTATAAAAGAACTACTGATTTCCTGTCATTCTAGTTAGAAGAGGGCAACATCAAACTTGTAAACGGAGCCGAACATAAGGGTTAAACTAATTTAGATTAAAATGCCGTATGAAGATGGTAAATAACTCAGGTCCTTGCTAACAAAATGACTTGTAAACAGCATTTTCAAAGGCTGTTAGATATTTTATGAGAAATGTATTTGTTCTTGTATAAACACTCCGTCTTTGTTAAGAGTCACTCGTGCAGTTGGTCTGACAGATGTGTTGGAGCAGCTGTAGGAGGAGCCACTGACCTGGTCCCAAAGAAAGGAGACAGAAAGCCAGCATTTTGCCAGTGGACGGGAAAAGCAGGCACACCTGAAAAACAGAACGACACACATTCAATATTAATTTAATATCTAATATTGCACATTTTTATTTTATTCTCACGTCAGCAGAACATCTGTTGTGCTTCCCGGTGGAGAACCTGCCCAAGCAACACCGTTTTAATACCTAATGGTCCATTTACATTTTAAGTCCCAGGCTGAAAGAGCACCTTACGACACCTCCTGCTGTGAGTTGTGGTCAGAGATGTTTGTTGGGTACGTGCCCACTCCTGAGAGGGATGCCAGGGTGTCCCCAGCACTCCATCAGTCCACCAGAATGTCACAGCAGAAAAGCAGAAAAGCCCATCAGTGGATGCCAGCGAAAGCAAGATTCTTATCTGGTGCTATTCTAACCTTGTGGCTGCACTGAATGTGTGAAGCATGCGGAGCGTTTGCAGAGCAGATGTGGTGAACGGTGGATTTTTTTTTACTGGCTACACCTGCTGTACATGTATGGCATAAGAGTTAGGGCAAAACAAGATGGTGAGCTTTTTGGATTGCTGTGTCTCTAATGTTGTAAAAAGGACATTTTTTTTGTGTAATAAGTTAATATCTACACAATACGGCAGACTCTGAAGAAGTAATGGCACTGAGCAAACATCAGCTGTTAAATACATTTCCATCACTGTGGCCAAGACAAAGTGGAAGCCCTGTTAGATGCTAAGCTCACATTTCCCATATACTGATAGTCTGATTCTAACAAAGCACAGCCACTTAATGGCCCATTTGTGGGTAACAGGGCTGCACACACCTCAAAAATATTTTCCCGTTTGTGGTGGACATCTCCGTGGTGCTGCTCATACCTCTGGTGTAGTTTCATTGATTAGAACTGAAGCGTAGTGTTGCACCATCAGCTTGTGAGCGGTCCGCATATGTTAGACCTTCAGGGCAGGCACGGGGGTAAGGGAGTCCATCATTTAATAATTAATAACTCAGGAAATTGTCATTTTCGGTTCATTCAGAGTACTGACCCTTCATGTGTAACAAGTCTGCTCTCTGTCACACTGAGCTGGAGGCATAGCAAGACAGATACAAGATCATTGTGACAAGGCACAAGTGCAGACTTTGCAAGTGTAAGGGTAGATTTTTTTTTTGAGTCAAGCTTTTTGCAATGTCAGGTCTCTGAGGGAAGTCAGCACTGAAACACAAAATACACAAGTGACAAACAAGTATGAAGACAAAGAATTGATATAAACTACAGGGAATACAGTCAGCAAGTTGTCGAATTGTGCCGTGGGACTCAGTCACACTTTTCCAAAACACACTAACGTTTCTTCTAATCCGTCCTGCACTAACTCTCGTTTCCATCTTGTGTTCTTATCTGTATTCGTGCAGTTGGTGTGCAGCTCGCTGCAACGCTACAACCTGCAAACAGCGATTTGTAGATAAATCTTCCTTAATCCACTGTTGTGCTTTTTTCACTAACGTGGTGCAAGTGGAAGCGTGGTCGAGCAGCAGTGTATCGATATCAGGACAAATGCAATGAAAGCAGCTTGTTGGGTCAAATAGCTCTGGTAACAGGTCTAATTGAATCTGTGTCAGGTTCTCACTGCAGGTACATCCACCACTGCAAGCAGCAGGGTGGAAATCAATACGTCCTCTCTGCATCCATGGGCACACTCTAATTTCATTGAAGGCTTTTCTCTGTGTGTATGGTAGAGAGAGTGATGGAGCGAATGAGTGTACATGGGCAGGTTAATGAAGGTCATTGTATAATTCTGTTAGAAAATGTGTGTGTGTGTGTGTGTGTGTGTGTGTGTGTGTGTGTGTGCGAGAGACAAAACAAAGGCTTTGTGTGTACATTAGGACTTTTGTTCAATATTGTTATCGTTCTACAGTGAGTAGGAAATGTTCACTATTCTTACCTCTTACCAACGACAAACGCCGAGTGAAGACTTTCTCAAGAAATTCTAACGCAATATTTCAAACGTAGTATTTTATTTTCTAAGTGTAGCTGGTTCAGCATCATTTTAGTGGCAAGATGTAAACAACTAAAAGACTAAAACGACGCAGGTTGAATTGTTGCTAAAGTCACATCTCCAAAGTACAACATTTTTCAGAATTATATTTGCAATAGATGCAGGGAAGGAAAAACAAAACTTTGAAATCTGTGGTTCTACCAGATGCCACAAACTGCAGAGGTTCACAAGAAAGTAATGCAATCTTAACATATAAATAAATATAATAACATTCAACGACAAATTCACATGAGAAACAACGTTTGCTGATATGTCTACACCCTACATCAAACCGAATAAGGCAAAGTGCGTCTTTTTCTATAAATCTGTTGTAATTTGAATCTTAAAGGCTTCTGCAGGTTGGATTCTGCTGGTCGTGGACGATATTCACATTGTGTATGTATGTGTTAAATAAATCTGTATGCGTGTATCCGTACCCTGAGTGCAGTCCTGCATCGGGGCCAGGTCAGGAATGTGGAGGTTCAGAGTCCTCGGGATCACAGGTGGTCTGACCCTTGAGGGGGTAGTGACCTCGGGCTGCTGTTGCACTTGTCCTGGTGTAGGACAGCAGGGGCTGGAAGTACTGCTGGATGGAGTATTTGGAGGAGTCATTACCTGAGAACAGAGGAAATCTTCTTTACTGGACGATAAACACAACTCTTACTTGTTTCTCTATTTGTGGCTGACAGACATGTTGTGGAAATCTGGATGAGCCACAGCACAAACAAAGAAGGTGCAACAGTATTTGTCTTTTGTATTTTCTGAAAGAATAAGAGGAGTAACGATGAATAATAAAGAAGAGAAATGCAGAGTGAATATTTCAGCTGAGAGGCAGAGCTCCGTCGTCAGGCTCGTGTCCAGAGATCTGACCGAGATTCAAACAAAACAATGCAGACTTATAGTAGCGTCTGACCTCCAAACAGCACCGCTTCACCTTTATCATGCAGATAACAGGGACTCCTCAGCCGGGGACTCTCTCTGTATCACTACTATCAGACCCTGGTGCTTAACACTGGTCACAACATAATCAGGGTCAGGTCTCTGTTGGAGTTGCACTTCAGTGAATCTCCATAAGATTAAATATCATCGGACGAGTCTGTTCGTCTCCCGACTGTCATGTGATTACCAGCGAGGCCGAGGTTTGTGATTGTTACGTAACAAATCCAGGTCAATATGACATGTTCCTACAACACCTTCATCCACAGTGATTCCTGATGTGCTCTTACTTCAGCATCGGCTTTACAGTGAGCCCGGGTCATCTCGATGAGGTCTGGAGGAGCCAGAGGGCTGGTGGGGGGACATGCGGGGCTGGTCGGAGGCGCCTCATTGGTCAATGTGCAGTCTTCCTCACAACGGGGTTGGACATTTAGCAGAGTGCTGAACGGGTTGTCCCCTTCGCCCTGAACAACACACAAACGAAACAAGGCATTGTAGATGTGCTGCCGTGCATTTTGGATGTAAGAGAAGTGTGACTACGTAATGCAAAGCAGAGTTACGCATAGCAAGTGATATTTTTAGCTACATTTGAATACACAATTGTTCAGCCTTAATCTTATTCAGGCATTATCAGTTACCAAAACGGTAACCTATAAGGCAACTTCTAGTAATCTATATTGAATTAAAAACAGCACAGTTAATCCTGCAGTGTTTCAAAGTGTCATACAAAAGCTGAAATCAGAAATGTTTGAAAACGGCAGTGATGGTGTTCCTTTGGATCAGGTGCTCATACCTGGATGTGGGGGCTGAGCTCATCATCATAGATGTACTCCAGCGCAGGTAGCTCTTCCTCTTCAAACTACAACATCAAAAAAACACTCCTGTATCTTTTATATATATATATATCTATATAGAGACGTCCCGATGCTAAGATCACAGGATTGGAGCCAATCCAGGCAACTTTTCCTGAATGGTATCGGCATGAAACCAAGCCCAATTCTTTATGTTCACGGTAACACAGGTGATGTAAATTTGAATAATCTTCCTAGTAAATGCAATATCATCATTTAATAATTAATGTTTCATGCTAATTGTGCACATTAGACATGTGTCCTGTTCTGATATTACTGTTTCAAGCCGTGAACACTTTATGCAGCACTGAGAGTTTCCACATAGACGACTGGAATACGGAAAACTATCCCAGTGATCACTTGATTTAGCGTGAGCGCTGGTCAGAGGTTATTAAGCATAAGAAGACACTAAGAGTGAATAAAGAAACCCTTCAGACAGTCATTTAGCAAATAAATTATGTAGATGAAAATTAAAACAGATCCCATGAGAACCTGTCAGACCTACCAGGTGTACATGTTTGCATTAAAGTAGTTATTCCGAGGTGCTCGCTGCATCTTTGTTACCAAACAGAAAGCGTTCATTTCATTGTTCCCAATTAATATAAAGCCAGGTACCATGTAGATTCAACTTTAATAGTTACGCACTGTGAACCCATTTTTGTCAGCTCTATAACGATGGTAACAATTCACCTGATCAGAGGAGAGGAGCAAAAGAACACACTCTACCACTTCACCTGGTCTACAGAACCATTCTGACATCAAATTGCAGGACTAGTTATCCATCCATCAACAGTACATTAGCAAAGTGTAAAAAAAAAAAAAAACCTTAACAGCCAGGAAAGCACCAATAAAAGGCCTTACTGCCTGCTTTGTACTAAACTATGTTTCAACACCCCAAAGCTGAACTGGTAAGTCAACACAGGTACGACATCAATGAGTTGACCGTATGCAGCTTTTCATCACAGTGCACATATATTAAACAACACACAACCACAACTACTGCCTTGTGGCTGTATTCCTTCACCAGCGAGTCAAGTTGCAGCGTACATTCCTGCCCAACAGACATAACCTGTGACCTTATGGACATAAAATGTCACCATTTCATCATTTTGAGACATTTGTGTGAATAATTAGCATATGACATCTTCAACTATTGCCAAAGACAAGTTTTGTAAGTTAAAAGCAACCTTTGATGACTGAGTTCTGATCAGTAAAACCTTGCATCCATGTGGATATTTGTCCTTATGGGACCACTGAAATCTCACCAGATAAAACCAGAGTCCAAATGAAAATTTGTGCCATATTTGAAGAAATTCCCTCAAGACATTGCATTTACAAGAACAGGAGAGACGGATGAACAATCTAAAAACATAATGCCCCCAGCCCCACTGTTGTCGGCCTGGAGGCATAAAAGCTCTGGACTGTTTTCAACATCGTACAGGGCAACACCGTAAAATGTTGCTTCCTGTATGTTCGGTTTAACAACCTGCCACTCATTACCATAAGAGAGAGACAATCTTGTAATCCAATATCCATTAAACAGCCCACTGATTGGCTCTCATCTTATTTACTGTCCAACCAAGCTGTGACCTTCCAACAGTGTGACTATACATTAAGCAGTATTGGACTGCAACTCGGCCTTCAGCAAGATGATGTGTGTGCTTGATCCGAGCGTGTACATTGACTCTGCTTGTGTGTGTGTGTGTGTGTGTGTGTGTGTGTGCGTGTGCGTGTGTGTGTGTGTGTGCCCATGTTCTGCAGTGGGCCTGCAGCACTGACAGTATGGCTGGTAAGATAAGAGCTATGGACAGTGGAGAATAAAAGCTTTACAGCAACATTAAACGACTGGGTAAGAAAATGAAAGTGTGTGTGGAGGGGGGGAGGGGGGAAATGAGACAAAGAGAGTGCAAATCCACCACCAACATTCAAAATACCCAATATTGACACTTAGATTTTGTGTGGCTGTACTGCACATAGAACAACAGAAGCTGCGTCTCCGATGTGTTCAGCTTCTGTATGCTACATAAGAAGTGTCTGTCGGATGGTGCAATAGCATTGCAAACCTCCTCCCCACCCTGACAGCTTTTCAACCCCACAATTGTGGGGGCTACGTCTGACAACTTTCCAAAATCAATCCACTGCCAGAGCTACAACTTCTTTTCACACATAAGCTGGTCTGTAGTATGTGTCTGTGCTACCTTCAGTGGGGCCGATGTGGACGGTTCACGGCTGTCCGCTGACTTGGGGAATGAAATCACCTCTATTTCCACCTCTGGCAGCTCAAACATTCCCTTTCCCATGTAGAGACTCACTGGCGTGATCTGGACACACAACTGCAAAAGCAGGACCAGTTAACACAACCAAGCATGAATTAAAATCACTAATGATTACACACTGATTATTCATAGCTGTCTTAATTATTCAGTGCGTATCTCATACAGTGACTCAGAACAGTGAATTAAGCGTTGGAAATATTAGTGTTCAGTCGGTACAGCTTTGACATTTATAAACAGACACCTGCTGACTTATCAAACGCTGTTATAGATCATTGTCATCATACAAATAAGTATTGTGTGTGTGACTCACCGCTGCAGTGGCTGCAGGGCTGCAGGCCGTCCCATGGCCTTGGCTCAGCAGAACATCGTGGATATAGATGTCGTTATCAGTATTTGTGTCACACAGGTAAAGCTGCAGCACATCTCCAGTGTAACAATTCAGCGCACCCACCAGGGTGCGATCAGTGCACAGTTTCTGGAAAGAGGCTGTGGCCTCAGCAGTCCAGCTCCCCTGCGAGAGACCAACCACAGCTGTCTTGTTAATGAAACTGAATGATAACGGCAAAACCACACAAGTACAGTTTTGTAATATGGTTTGTAAAAATACGCTGATGGTGAATATTTGTATAAAAAACCCATAACTATTGTAACTGTCAGGTGGTTTACTGTCCTACTTTGAACCCGTGTACAAGACAAGTTGGTGACCCTTCAAGCTGGCTCTCTAAACACCACAGAAACACACGCTTTCTCAACAAGTTGCATAAGAGATGAGATATGTACAACAAAAATCACACAAACAAGGCCATGCAATACAAGATGAATGCATGCAGGAACGTGAAATTCAACACTATCTTTAGTGCTTCAGTCCAGCTGGGGACAGGGGGCACGCTGGCACTGACATAAAAGTTGATGCAGACGTTTGTAATAAGGTTTCCCATTTGTCAAGAAACATGTAATATACTGTTAGACAAACGGCAGACTTACTGTGGTGGGTTTAATTCCAGAGAGAGACGCTGGAACAGCTTGAGCTGGAAGACCTGAATAAATTGACCTGGAAAACAGACACATGTATTGTAGGCAGCACAACAAAAAATACACACCTGCCATCTTTGTCATACTACTTGTATTGTTAAACTGATTAAATGTTTGATGTGCCCCTACTTTAGAAACTTGAGGTTGGCGCTCTGTACCACTGTCATAACACCATAGTCAACATAGTACACCTCAACGTGCGTGGGGCTGAGGACCTGGTGGATCACCACCCGGTACACCCACATGCCTGCGGGTGATATGCAGCAGACCTGACCCCGTCGGACAAATTGTTCAGGTAGGCGGTAGCGCTCGGACACCTCAGGATAGGTGTAACATCGTCTTGGAGACAAGAGGAGAGTAAAAAGATGGAAAAGGCCGATGTTAGCTGATGCTTTGACAACAAACTCTACGCTGTCACCAACACGTGCACCACCTCATGTCCATCATCATCTCCTCCAGATCTTGGGCTTCCTCACTCGCACTGAAACGGATGTAGAAATGTCCAGGTGACTCCACCTGTTCCACCAAGACTTCTACTAGCTCTCGAGCAGCACGACGTGTCGGTACTTTGAGGTGGTGGCTCTGCAGGGCGTCCAGGGGCACAGCAGGGCTGCAGAGTAACTGCAGGGTTGGGTACACCTCACAGTTCTACAAGCAAAGTGAGCGTGGTGAGCAGGACCTAGCAATGGGTTTCTATACAGTCAGTATTTAGCATATCCTACAGTACTTTTAAATAGAACTAGATGTCAGCGATGTCCAACATGTACACATAGATAAAATCAATATTGTACACTGGGTACTGAGACACTGACAAGCTGTTATATGCAGTTAAAATTCATGGTCTGTACTGACATTACGTCATACGATGCTCTAATTACTGAAGGTCTCAAAGACAACAATTACTATGTTGTTGACTAACCGTTTCTTTGGTCTTGGTAATGTTCCTCATCTCCTTGTCCTTGTCATCTGCTGTGATATTATCACTGTCTTCTTCCAGTTTACCCTCCCAAGGTGATTTTCTTTCGCTTAGGTAGTAGTTTGTAATCGGCAATTTTGTACTATCGTCAAAATTTTTAATCTCTTTTGATTCTAGAAAAAAAGAGAGGCACATATGTATTGAAAGTCAGTATGCAACGAGAAGGCTTCGGTAAACATTATCAAAGTGACATTATCATTTATCACCACAGGACATTGGGTAGGAAAGTATTAACCACAGACACAAACACTGATTGACGTCTTTGTGATACTGAGACAAAGCTACACGCAAACTGGAGTAAAAAGCGTTCTCAACACAAAACAACACAACATAAAATCAACAACAAAACAACATTTGCTTCTACGGTGACATGAACTGGTAACGCTGCTGAACTAATCCTCCCACCTGGTTGTGTACTGTTCCTGTCCTGTAGGTTCATGACTATCCAGTGATGTCCATTGACACCTTCTGCTGGTTTGAGGTGGAAAATGTCACTCAAGGCGCCAACAAGTTCTGTGACACTGACAAAGCCGCTCTGTAGCAGAGGCAAGTCCTCATCAAAAAGCCTCTGGGGGACATAAAGCACCACATATAACATCCACAATAATAACATAAAGCATCTCTGTTACTTCCTAGAGCCATAATGTACTATGCATTTGAAAACAGGGGCAATAAACACAATCAGAACACTGAAAATCACTGGTCTACTTCCTCAAACAATGAAGAGGTTTGAGGCTGCACGACTAACCTGTTTAAAAATCTCACGAATAAGATGTATACATTTTGTTTACCTTGTACTCAGCAGGCAAGTCGTGAACCGATAATCCGCCCCTCGTCTGACTGACAACCTGCAGAGGGTTGTCGACATGTGAAGGCTTTCACTACAAGACTCTGCTTTATTAAAACGTACTTGGAAACACATCACTCGGCTACCTTTCGGTTCCACAATAAGTCACCAGAATTAGTACATTAAATACTGTATGACTGGTATAAACTCCCTCAATAACATTTCATCATTTATTGCTATCATAACCCTACAAATTACATTTAAAAACACCCCCACACACACAGTCTGCCACTGGCTGCAGATCTGTGGGACTATTTGTTGATGCTGTGCCGCTGTGGGGCGTAAAGACAACATTATGATTTTCTACAGATGTGTCCTTTTATTTGTCGAGCTGCGGCTGTCATCCATCACTGTGATTGGCGTAGCTGTTAAAGAGCAATAAGACCAGAAAGGTGACAGTCTGAGAATAAATGTATGAAATCATCACATCTTTTGATTTATATTCCACTTCGCGCAGCCCTTTTGCACTTCAGGCTGCTACATATACATGAACCGTGACAGCAGGGGGACTTGAGGTGCCTGTGAGACTAAGACCTGCTGCTTTGCCCACTTGCTGTTGCACTTGTGTTTAGAATCCAGCGTGAAGTCTGACCTTTCGTAGCTTGTCCTTCAGCTCCTGACTGATGGTGCCAGCAACTCCATTCTCCAGGATTTGCTGACGGAGCTCCTCCTCTAGCTGATATAAATTTTAAGAAGAAACAGAGACAAAAAAAAAAAGATAAGCACTTAAAATTGATAATTTTACACTAATTACTTTTCCTCCTAATGACATAATTCAGTCAGATAGAACCATGTTTCGCATTTCTGTTCTGGTATGTCAAAATGAATCCTCACCAATCACATTCTGAGTTCTTGACATTAGTTTTTATATAGTTTAGTTTTTAGCAAGCTGTCATCTGGTTAAGTTTTGTTTGTGTATCTAGCTTACGCAAGAGAAAAGTGTTCCTTTATGTTCTTGTATTAGGTAGCTAACAAGGACTTCATAAGCAACTACCAAGCTACCTGAAACTACCTTTCAACTGATAACAAACCTTGAGGAAGCGTTTGTGAAAGAGCTGACCCTCTTGGCAGGGTACAGGTGTGGCTTCCTGGTTCTTTTCAGCCATTTCTGACTTGTCTTTGACAGATGTGGACTTGTTATGGTCCGAGCCCCAGGAAGTCTCAGTAGAAGGCTGCTCCCAAGGATTCTGCTTCACTGGAACTTCAGCTGGAGAGCAATAAGATGTTTCAAAAAGACTGTACGAGTCTCTGTTGCACTTACTCCCTAAATAAACCCAACTCTTTAAAGACACACCTCGAGGTTTTGTTGATGTCTCAACCTCAATTTTTCTAGGTGATCCTGGATTTATGGGTCCAGTCCTCCTTGATGAGCTGGCGGGTCCAAGCAGCGGCCTGGGTATCATATGTTCCCTCAGGGTCACAACTGAGCCAAGCCTGCTTTGTTGGATGACGATCATGTCCGCTGCTGCCTCCAGCATCTCTCCAATGGAGTAGAAGCCATAGTTGTGGGCACGCAGCGGGAGGCCGAAGCAGCGCAAGAAAAAGGCCTCGAGGTCAGACACCCGAAGTGGACCCTGGGAGGGCGACCTCATCGTTACTCCAAATTAAAGTGCAATGACAAAGCAACGTTTCGTAAGCAACAATTCTGTTAAAACTAATAAAAATAGAAAAGAATGTAAACAGAAAAGCTAGCCAGGCCTTTGATTCTCTTATTTTGTGAGGTCTATGTCAGTATTACACAGAAAAGTCTATACAGACATTATGAAGTCTAAAAAAAGCCGACCCTATTAACAACAATCTCTGCATTTATCTTGTTCAAATTTGTCCCATCTCAGGGATTATTAGTTTATACAGAGTCATTCAAACTTCAGCAGGCTTAAACAGTCCAGTTTGTTATGGAGAACATCCACAGTGCGTCCTGGTGAGAGAAATTAAAATTATTACAACCAACCTGCACACAAAACTTTGAAGTCATACCTTGGAGAGCAGAAGGCGGAGCTGTGTCCTCAGCTGGTACGGAAGAGACGGAGGAGCAGATCCTCTTCTTGGGACGACCACAGCAGGGCAGGCATGAGATGAGAATTGGTTGAAATTAAATTTTTTGACCTTCTTGTCGGCTCGAGACACGCGCTGCTTGGCTACCAGCTCCTCGATGTTTCGAGTAGATTCTCCACTGACAGCTGCGACACAGGAGATGAAAGTGAGAGCATGAAATCATGAACCTTGATCGGGTGTTTGAAGGCAACAAAAATCAGAAATGAGGACCTCTGCCTCAGACTCTAATAGCCTTTTGTTTAAACGTTAAAACAGTATTGATATATACATAAACGTGAAACAAAAAAAAAAGACTACCTTTTAGATATAGGGTATTATCTGCCCTGAAGTTAAGAGACACCACATCTGGCATTGACCTCGCCATATCCACCACATTTCTGAAACCCAGGAGTTTCAATGGCATTGGATGCCCCAACATGGTAAAGTAGTCTCGCTTGAGCAGATCAGGCTCCAAGCCCATCTTGGATGAAATGAGCAACGAGCGAACATCCTTCTTTAGCTTTGTCAAAACGTCTTCCTGGTTCATCTTGCCTACTTTGTCTGGAAACACAGCAAGAAGGGCAGGCAAGAGGACAATTAGAACAACGGCAACACATTACATCCTGAACTCAGACAGCGAGGGGAGGGAACGTATGCATTATTAGGGTATAACTTATAGGATTGTGATCTAGCAGGTTAGAAGAGTTTGAAAATTCTGGATTTAGACTCAACATACCTCGCTAACCCTTACTCTTGTGTCTAGTACAGTCATCCGGTGGGTATGAACATTATGGCAGTCTCCTCAAGTCAACGTTAATGATGTTGCACATTAAAAATAACAGAAGCTTTCAAAAATATATAAAGCACTACAATGTGAATCCAATGACAACAATATGGATGCTAAATGGGAATTGGAAGCAAACGTAATAATAACGGACGATAATTGGGAGGAAACGTTCCGATCTGGACAAAAATTAACTAACATGGAGGGAGTCTGATTGGAAAGTGAAGACGCGTTACTTTAATCTGTCATCGCAAAACACCGTAAAACATCAGATTTGTGCTGGAGGAACTGTGACATGGTGGGTGACTTCACTCATGTATTGGATCATAGACTTCTGGAGGTGTGTGAAAACAGAAACAAACAGAATTCTGGGTACTGATCTACATCTTGACCCAACCCTGTATACACTTTTTATCTGAAGATCAGATAGACAGTGATAGCAGCTACCTATTGAGAGTCCTGTTCTTGATAGCAAAGAAAATGATCACAATCAATTAGTTGAAGCCACACACACACCCAACATAATGCGATGGACAGACAGTAAAAAAGGTTTTTATTATAGAAAAAACTACAGCAAGACTACAACTGAAACATTTGAGAGAAGATGGAAACCGATAATACAAGCGATACCAGGGCTCTAAATACCTCTTTTTTTCTATTTAAAAAAAAAAGGAGGTATGAAATGAAATGAAATGAAATGAAAAATATTTTATTTATCCCAGAAGGGAAATTCAATCTTGTAAAAGCTTACTTTTTTTTATATATTACTTATATTTTATTATATGTACTTATGACTGAAGGTAACATGATATGGACTGAGTGGGCTGTAAAACTGGGATTTTTGTTCATCTTCATCTGTTTTAACTATGTGGAATAAATAAAACGGTTTAAAAAACAATAATAATAAAATAACGGAAGTTGATCCAACGTCCCTGAAAGCACCACGACGCCTTAAACGTACCAGTGTCTCAACAGAAAAAAAATTATGACAGTAGGTGATGGCAATATAATCCATCTTCGTTGCCTGAAAAGTGCATGCTAACTACCACAAGTAATGTCATTGTCCAATACTGTATACTTTCTTGGAGATAAATAACAGGCTACGCTGCTAACAGTAATAAGGACTGTGGTTAGCTGCTAGCGCTCCGACGCGTCATCACTGGCGGCACAGACCGTTAGCAACAGTTAGCCTCCACCGTCTACAACCAGAGAGAGACTTAGCTTCAGCTCGGCTCTTGTAATTTGGAGTACGTTAAAATCAACGCTATCCCTAACGTAACTGCCGTGTGTCGTCGTGAAATGGTTGCAAAAAAAAAAAAAAACATGGTGTTAAGTTACCTGAAGTCTTCAGTACGTTGTCCGCATCGTCCCACAGATGGACATCTAGATCTTTCCTTAGCTTTAGCTCCGCTCTCTCTCTCCGCACCTGTCGCTGAAGCAAACCACCGGACACGTTAACGGCGTTAACCGCCAACAGCTCCGTACGCTGTTGTTTTGTTTTCACCAACGTGTGTTCGCTGAAACTTCTAGTCAGAAATGGTTCACGTGAATTAAAAGAACACGGTTTCAGTTGGCTGCTAAATTAAACTGACGTCGTTAAACAGCTCGTTCGTTGCAGGAGCGAAGTTAAGCTGCTCTGAAAAAAAATAAAAATAACCAACACCTCGTTGAAACCTTTTGTATGAAGTGGCACATTCTTCATGATCAGTACAGTAAAATTATTTGTAATATCTTATGTAAAACTAAAATATAGATATAAATAAGTCACCACACAGCCGCTGTGAAGTGCTGGCTCAAGTTCGGGATGAGGGGAACAATAAATTAAGCGCACCTTCAACGTTGCGTCGTTTACCTTTCGTGGTACAGGTATGTTCGTTTGCTAACGACAGCGTGGCTCACATGGGCGGGGTGAATCACAACAGCAAGAGATGTAGAGATGATACATTGTGCAGGTTGCGAAGGGTGTCAGCTTTACTTGCACATTTTGTCCTCCTGGGCTATGAATAAAGCTACTGTATTTATTGAATGTGGTCTTTGTCTTCACTTGGCAGACATGTAGAAGAGGTGCCTACAACCTTGGTGAACATTCATGTTTGTGTGTGTCTCTTTCTGACTTTTTGTACATGCAAGTCAAACAAGATTGATTGAATGCAGTTAAATATGGGTGACACAGTGAGCATGTTTGATTAAGGACACCGTAGGGAGGCTGCTGTATGTCTTCTTCTGTCAAAACAGAGAAAACAAACTCCCTCAGCCCCTCAAGGCCTGAGTCGGCACATTCCCGGTGAAGACAGACTGACTCCCTGAGCTGCATTGACACCATTAGTCCCAACAGCAAACCTTCAATTCTGGATTACGCACATCTATCAATGGTATTCACTTTCTTTACTCAGAAAGAAATGAAACACAAACAAATCGAACCAAATCTTAAAAGCTGAACCAATATCTTCATCCAGAAATGCTTTCGTTTATGTTTCAACAGGCCCTTGTGATTCTGTGGAAAAGAGGGACAGATGTGATATTTTTGTTGCACTGTTTAAGAAAGCCTACCGTTATTAATATGCCATGATATTTTTTATCATACTATCGTGACATTTTATTTTATTCTAGTTATTTTAAGGCACTGCTTTGACAACAGATATTAAATGTCAAGCTCACCAAAGGTCACTGACATAAAAGTATTTGAAAAAAACACAGAGGCCGGTAGGTAACACTCCCACTGCTCTCCTACTCCCACATTCAAACGTCAGTATCCAGTCAGAGGAAGCAACACCCAGCGGTAAATATCCAAAAATTTGTTCTTCCTCTCTCCTTTCTCCCAAACAGAACCCCCTCCAGCAACCCATCTAGTGAAAACATCCCAACAGCCATCTCTTCTATGCAGAGCCTCCAGCCAGCATGGAGAAGTCCTCAAATGTCCAACCCAATCACTCACCAAGATCCAGAGCGGTGCCGAGGAAGGAGAGGGACAGGGGAGCCTTAGTGCCTCCGAGAGGTCAACGGCAAAGGGCGGCCAAGGCACGACGGCTCCCTGAAGCACCAGCGGAGAGGAAAGAGAGGCTGCAGAAGGAGAAGCCGGAGACAAATGAAGTGCAGGAGACAGAAGTGAAGCTGAAACCTGCTGTGGTGGACATAGACAGTGTGAGAGAGGACGAGGTCAAGGAGGAGAACCTGGGGCTCCTGGAGGCAGCGGAACAGGAGGACGGTGAGTTGAAGACTGAGGAGGAACCTGGTGGTGTTGGTTAGGAAAGCTTTGTTGTGTTGATATTTCTATGTTGTGTTATTGCAGTTTTTGGAACTTGTGATCTGTGATTTAAAATTTTAAAACCTTTAGCTTATACTCCATTTTGAGACCTTTGTCCTGTGTTTGGTTTGACGTAAAAAGAGTTTTTCCAGTTAACTACTGTGGGTTTCTGCAGGTCTAAAGCGCAAGAACCTGGGTGTGTTTGAGTGGCTGCTGATGGTCTCTGTCTTGGTTCTGGTTCTCCTCTTCCTGCCTCTGTCCATCTGGTTTTGTGTCAAAGTACGAACTACAATAATCTTCTTCACAAAAATGAGCAAAACGTCGTCAGTAGAATTAGGTAAAGGACTAGATAGAGGAAAAAACTTCACCTGCAGGTTGTGATGGAGAAGTAATTATATTGAATTTGAGGGATGGATGAAGTTCATGTTTAGTTCAGTTGTGATGGTCCAGAAGGCCTAATAACATTTTAATAAGTGTAACTGGGAATATTTATCTTCTTTTAATTGTCAAAATGCTGTTTCTGCCCTAACAAAGTAAAATATTTAGATGAATATGAGGTTTTTCAGCATGTAAATGAGCTGTTTTCTTGCCCTTGTTTCATGTCTAGTGTTGGGGTCGTTTTTTATTTTCTTTTTTTTAAAGTCATGTATATACACATTTATTGTTAATTTACATTAAAGCAGCACCATACTTTACTTACCTACCCCCCTGTGGAAAGTAACTCATCACACTAATCATTACATTACTTTTGCATTCTTTTGTGCTCTTTAATAATGCAAAGCCAGCGGCAAAGTAGCTATGATGTGATTACAAAACTTAGTTGCAAACAAATGTGAGGTAAATACAGCACTGTACTTTGTAAAGCGCTACCCCAACACAGCTCATTTCTAACAGAAATGTGATAAATACAAAGTCGACACAGCAAAAATGTGCCGATGATCTGATACATTCTGACTCCACTGTGTGTGATATTAGACCAAGACGTTTGATAGAAGTTGTTTTACATGTCAGTCTGACACTCTACTCATCAGTGGCTTCTGTTCATACACACCGTCTGACTGAAGGCTGTCATTTTGGTTTACAGGTAGTGAGGGAGCACGAGAGAGCTGTGATCTTCAGACTGGGTCACCTACTGCGTGGAAAACCCCGGGGACCCGGTCAGCTCAGATTACTGTTGATTTTTTTTATGCTCATTGATTAAAAAACAGTAATACAGTTCATTTCAAACCTTGGGAGTATGTTAACATCTGCAAAAGGTGTGCAGTAGTGGTGCTGCAGTGGTTGAGGCCTGTTAGGTGCTCTTTTTTCCTTAATTTAATTATTATTACTAACACTGTTGCCACACAGCTAGAAGGCCCTGGAGCCTTTTTGTTTGGAGTTGGCATGTTCTCCCTGTGCAGCGTGGGTTCCTCCCACATCCAAAAACACGCTGAGGTTAATCAGTGATCCTAAACTGTCCGTAGGTGTGAATGTGAGTGTGCTGTATTTCTCTGTGATGGACTGGTGACCTGTCCAGGATGAACCCTGCCTGGGCTCCAGCCCCTCCGCAACCCTACAGAGGATAAAGTGGTGTATAGATAATGGATTTTTATTGTTGTTGTTAGAATATTCATAACACAAATGATGGGAAACTATTTCCGAGGACGAATCATCGTCTGAACTAGACTGTCCAGTTACAGGTTAGTTAGTCTCCATGAGTAACGGTATGACAGACTGTAAACAGAATTTATTACTATGTATAAATGAACAAAACTAATGTGCAGATGGGTGACAAATTAAAAGACAAATCAACTTAAAGTTTCTTAATAAGGTATTGGGCCACTGAACAACCAGATTGCCTCACTGTGGGGGTCAAAGGTTAAGGTTCTGTGCAGAACGTTGTTAACGAATCACAGTCATTACCAGCAATCAGCTGGAAGGAGAGGAAGCATTGTAGCACATCATAGCAGCTCATAGACACTAATGAAGTGAAGATTCTTAAGAGAAGGCTCACTAGGGTTTTATCTAATATCCTTCTGCCTTCTCCTCCTCTCTCCAGGCCTCATTTTCTACCTCCCGCTCCTTGATGTGTGTCACAAGGTCGACATTCGACTGAAAATGCTAAAGGTTCCCCCTCACATGGTACAAAGTACAGACACACACACATTAGAGCTGTCACAGTAAAAAAGATGTCGGCCGACAGTTCTTCATATGTTTGTATGCAGGTGGTGACAAAGGACCTGGTGAGGCCAGAGCTGAGTGCAGTGTGTTATTACCAAATAGAGAACCTGGCTCTGTGCAGTGCAGCTCTGTCCAGTCTGATCACGGTTCTGCAGAACGTGGTCCAGGCAGCAGTCAGAGACGTTGTGGCCCAGCACACATTCAGCCACATCCTGCTGCACCGGCGGAGGATCGGGGAGCAGATCCAGGCAGCTGCTGACTCTGTTGTTTGTCGCTGGGGCATCAGGGTGGAGAGAGCAGACATGTAAGACTGGAGATACAAAGTTAACTCGTTATTTTGTGATTGTTAATTCGTCTTTTTTGTGTTTTCCTTCCTCCACTTCATCTATTTAGGTTCATGAATGATTACATTTTCCTGGAAGTCAAGACCAAAAAGCTCTTACACCATGTTACATCTTGGAATAGCAAACATCCCGGTTTACTTTTAGTTGCTGTTTATGGAGAGAAAGATGTTGATGTTCCTTTCATGCCACATCTCTGTGTGGTAGGCTGGTTCAGGAAGAGGTTCTGAGTGCAAAACCTGATTTTAAGAGCGAACACTTTGAGTGACTAAATAAAATTACGATTATTTTGATGGAAACCCATAAACCTGAAAGAAACAGAGGCTCATTGGAACAGAACAGCACAAGAATGAGAATGATTTTTCTCTGCACACACTGATTTTTCCTGGTAAACAGCTAAAAGCAATATAGAGATTTGTAGTGCGCTGTGATGTCCCTGCTGACCAGGCTGGGCGGTGCTTGTGTTTGATTTTCTGTCAGAGATGAGCTCAGTTTTCCTGTGGAGTTACAGCAGAGTCTAGCTGCTGAGGCCGAGGCCAAGAGGCAGCAGCCGGTCAGAGTGAGTAACCATATGGGTTTTTATAATTTAACAATCCTTGTTTAATATTTTAACGCTTGTTTCTGCATTTTAGATGCTTCGGTCAAATATAGCATTCAACTAAAGATACAACCAATATTTGGAGACGTGTTATTAGACACATTATTAGTAAAACATGGTTTAGTTTTCAGGTTGGGTTCAGCCTATTAGGATCATTTCTTAATTTTCAGCTGTGTTTGTATTTTAAAAAAAACAAAAAAAAAAAAAACATGTTTCAGCTCAGCAGGTCCTTCTTCTCTCCAGGTGAAAGCAGCAGAAAGTGAGCTCGCTGCCTGGGATGGATTTCGGGCCTCCCTCCGTCTCCTCCATCCTGCTTTGGTCCTTCCTCTCCCTCCAGATCTCCTAAACCTGAACTCTGACCTTGCATCCCTCCCGCCACCTCCCCCGCCTGCCGTGGAAGGAGAGGCAGAGGAGGAGCCAGAGACGGACTCGCCAATGATGTGATCAGACTGTTAACAGATGAAGTGTAAATTATCAGTAATATTTAAAATATGCAAGGTGACTGTGAGCTACTCGTTCTTATCTTCTTGTAGTTTTAATCCTCTGTCAAAGAACACAAAAACTGAAGCTGAATAATTTCACATGGTTTATAGCAATGAGCTTTAGCATTTAGGGACTTGAGCCTCTACTGTATGTAAACAGGTCAAATAATCACACTATAAAGTGATAGATGTGGTGCAAAATGACATTGTTCACCTTGAGCATTTAGCGCAACAAAAGGTGTCAAAATTCATTTCAGAAAAGTCTTCATGAAATATCGACACAAACTTTAATTTTCGAATAGGGCACGAACAACTTTTAACTGCATTCAGTCAGAAAACGTAGCATGAGCTTAAACAAAGCCACAGCAAGCCATTAAATAAATAACACCACAAAGTGATATTAAAGGTTGTACAGAAGTTGTGCATTCTGAATAAGAAAAGCCAAACCCAAACTCTCAAACATACAAACAGAGTCATAATATGCTCTGACTGCACGTCTCATCATCGTTTCCTGGTTTTCTTGGTGCCGCTTGTTGGTTTGCTTTCAGCTGTGGTTTTCCTTACAGGAGCTGGTGCTGTTACTGGTAATGGGGAAGGTGGTGGCTTCTTTTCCTCTGAAACACAAACAGAGAAGGACTTGTACCATAGTTAACAGTTAATACCATCAGTTGTATAGTCTGCGCCTTCATTACCTCTGGACTCCAGACTGGGCCGACCCTGCAGTTGTCTCTCCAGGTCTTTAATCTTCTCCAGCGCTGCCTGCAGGTCGTCCTCAGCTTTCAGCGCTCTCTCCTCAGCGATCTTCACTCGCACCTCAGAATCACTGCGGGACAATGGACAAGAAATCTAACTTGGATGTCCTTTGCAATCGCACAAGTCAGTAGCCGTCTGGCTTTATTTCTGAGCAGCCACAAAAACGTGTCTAAAGTGTAGACAACCAAAGAAGTGTGTACATTTATTTCCTTGCTACCTCTGATATGATTTTGCCTGATAAATTAAGTTTGCAAGGTGCAAAAATATATTTTCATCTAATTATGAGTGTGCTAATTATTCAGATGGGGTTTCAATGGCTGTTCATGCTAGCTTCCCAATTCTTATTGTAATAAAAAGTCAAAAACATCACTTCCCATGTGGCACAGAAGAGTTTATAGTCAATGATTGTTTCAAACAGTGTTTGGAAAATCTTACAAAATCTAGATATGCATCAATATCCTTGCTGTTTTGAAGTAGTCATGGAAAAAATATTGATAAGGAAAGGATCAAGAAAAAAAAAATCACACTAAAAGATGATGTGAGTCATACTGTACATATATTTACAGTGTTGGTAACGTTCCAGAAATATAATTGTTCCATGTAACGATGAAAAAGTACACTTACTGCAGTTCACGCTGCAGTAATCCTGCTGTGGTCAGATCACTGAGAGCTTTCTGGGTTTCTTCTGTCACTGGAGACACAACCAGCTCATCAGTCTGACAGACAGACAGACAGGTGGTCAGAGGGATGGACAGACAGACAGACAGGCAGACAGGTGGTCAGAGGGACAGACAGACAGACGGTCAGAGGGATGGACAGACAGACAGACAGACGGGTGGTCAGAGGGACAGACAGACAGACGGTCAGAGGGATGGACAGACAGACAGACAGACGGGTGGTCAGAGGGACAGACAGACAGACGGTCAGAGGGACACACAGACAGACAGACGGTCAGAGGGACAGACAGGCGGTCAGAGGGACACACAGACAGACAGACGGTCAGAGGGACAGACAGGTGGTCAGAGGGACACACAGACAGACAGACAGACAGACAGGCTGATCAGTTCCATAGACAGTGAAACACACATTAATAGTGATCAAGGGTATGATGATGGGTATGAAGTCCAACCCCGTTCAGATGGACACTGGTCTCTCCCAGCTTCTTTTGCGTGACAATTCCATCATAGTCGATCAGCCTCACCACAGGGCTGTCACAAACCGTTAGCTCCCCCTGCAGGACAAGAACAAAAACACTGTTTGTTTCCAGTCAGTCTGGTGAATACAAAGTGTGAAGCAAGCCGTGCTTCTTTCATAAAACCCAAATTTAAAATTCCCTGTTTTCCACAAGAGTATATTTAATTCCTTAAAATGGAAATTGAATGAAATTCTGTCCAAACTGCACAATATCCCAAAGATTTCCGGACCTGAAGACTGCAGGTGTAACATATGTTAATTTATTTTTTAATCACACAAAGTTCAATAATCTTTGCAAAGACCCATAAATGTACACTTTACAAACCTCTTGTTGTTGTGTTTCATTTCCTTCAGCAGTGCTCTGTCAAGAAGTAAGAGTACAGTCATACCGAGCAGTGCTGGTCAGAAATATAAAGGAGCAAAGTTTAATACATCTTTATATTCAAGCCTTTGCTTAATAGTGTCTCAGCTTCCGTTATGCTTCCCAAAGCACAAATCTAATAAGCAGCTTGAACATTTATCCCTTAGTTAAAGGACGTGTCATCTTGCTACAGGAAAAACCTGCTGCTTTTCATCATAACTAACACTCTGGTTTCTTTCTACCTCTCGAACCCTAAAAATTCACTGTGATGTTTTACCATTTTAATGTCTGGACACCGTCATGCATTTATAGAACGTCCAAGGAAAACAGTGTGTTGTTGATCTTTTTTTAAACAGTGTTTGTTAATGTGACTAACCTCTTTTAGTTCTGCCTCACTCTCATCTTTGATGTCTTTGACTTCACAGTCTGTTGGAGGCTCTGCTGAAGCCTCTTCATTTACCTGTAAACACACACACACACACACACACACACACACACACACACACACACACACACACACACACACACACACACACAAATAGCCAGCAATACAATCAGAAAAACACTAAATTATACTTTGGCATTACTCTCAATCCTCTCACCTCTTATATTTTCCAGATCTCAAATCTGAACCCTCCCTTCTGATGTCAGCTGTATTTCACTGTCATATCAGTTTCACTGTCTGCTACCTGACACCAGACTCACAAGTCAAGGTGAAATTTCTCCAATAATAAAAAGAAAAAAGATATTTGCATCCATGCACACACTCATCTGTAGTCATAATTCAATCAGTAATTAATACAACAAATTGTTCTGGGTTGTAACTGAGTTGAATCCTCACCAGAGTCTCCATGCTTTCTGCTGGAGAGACCAGGACGTTACCGTTGGACGTCAGTACTGATTGCTTGACAGGCAGCTCCACAGGACCACCATGAACTCCTGAGAGCAGCATCATACAGGTCTCCACCCAATCAACACACTCCCTCTGAGGAGAGCATTACAGGTTTGTAATGGAGAAAACATACAGAAACATTTTCACAACACAACAAAATCAACTTCAGATCACTCTTTACCTGCAGATTTTTGCACTCATTCATCACGTTTTCCTCGTCAGCTTCATGTGGGTTCAGGAGAACCCGCTCCTCCAGAATCAGGGTGCATGAGCTGGAGTCAAAAATGGACGTAGAAATCTTTAGCTGAAGTTCAGGAGTAGAACTACACCTCATACAGTCCTCCTTCAGTTATATGTCTATGAATGCCTGCCTGCCCTGCACATCCATTGTCATCTAAAAGAAAATGACCTACCTGAGCTGCTGTATTACGATGTGTTGTTGGTATGTGTAGCGTAAAGACATGTTCAGGCTGCACACCACCTGCCAGGTGCTGCAGTAAACAGCATCTGCCTAACTGTTAATTTGAACGGCTTCTGGTACCTGGTGATGTAGCTGGAAAAATAGTCCAGTTTCCTAGTCAGCATCTTTGCATCCTCATCCAGAGTCTGCAGTGAGATCTTTGCGATGTAGTGGGGTTCTTGTTCTTGGTTCTGCTCTTCGCTATGGTCGGGCACCATGAGGATCAACAGATCCAACATCCAGCGAGTCTGAGCCATGTGAACAGAGCTGACCTGGTAGGAAAGACAACATTAAAACTCAAGACAGCCCTCTGATACTTTACAGAAAATCCTTTGAAAAGCAAGTCACTATAAAAAATGATCAGATCAACCATCTCCTCTCCCTCAGCAGCTACGGTGGACTCTGTTCGTGGCCCTACAGACAACAGCATAAGACGTCATGCAGAGCAGGTACAGAGAGAACTTACTGTGTGAGATCTGAGCACCACACTCATGGAGCTGACATGTTTGGTCCAAAACAACTGATTTACGGTGTGCTTAAGTGATGCTTTTGTGCGACATTTTCAGAATCTGCAAACCTCCTCTGACAGTATTACTGAGCGTGAGCAGTACTCACTTCTTCACGGAGCGTTTGGTTCTCACCCTCAGTGAAGTTGGACAGGCTGGTTATGAACTCCTGCACTTTGTCTAACATGTGTTCTGTCTCAGTGCTGTTGGAACAAACCCACACAACAGAGCATTTTAGACTAATGACAAAGAACTACAGGGATATATTTAAATTTCAGTAAGCAAACACTTGTGGCCTTAGTTTTTTCTATAAGTCTGATAGGGTTTTTTTTAATGTGCAAATTAAAAAACTACTCGCTTAGAGGCTTGAAATGTCTTAGAAACTATCATTTTTCTCAAAAGCCTTACTTAAGTACATGGTGAATACAAGTAAAGAGCAAATTAAGGTGAACTTTGCAGAAATTAGCAATAATTATACACATACATTGATCACAAACACAGAACACTGATTGTATATGGAACTTTGGAATGCAAAAACATGTGAACAAAATAATGAGAAACCTTAGTTTATAAATTAAGACGAGTAATATCATGAAAAACATACTATATGTCAGGCTTGTTCTGGTCTTTTTCACTCTCTGTTTGCGTGATGGAGATGCACTGTAAAGCTTCATCAGCCAGACTCTGCCAATCACGCAATGCTTTCTCCAGCTTCAGCCAATCAGAGACAGACATCATTTCTGGCTGTCCATTCACTGCGCCAATTTTGGAAACCCACGACTCTATCAACCCGAGCAGTGACGTGATCCGTCTGTGGATCCCTGAAATGACATGGCTGCAATTAGTTTCAGCACTTGAGTCCATCCGTATGTTACAGATATCTATGCTATGCTTATCTATCACACTGAGTCCCATTAAAATACACAAAAAAGAGACACATACATGAAGAACACTGTTTGTGTGTGTGAGAGTATAAGTCTAGGGTCTGTCGACTCTCACCGTTCTCTCCACTGACTTGTGTTTCCAGCTCTTTGAGGAGCTCAGATAGAACCCCGTCCAGTTCTCTGAGGGCCTGCTGGCCTCCGGGGGGTTCACTATGAGGAGAAGTGTGTCTTCTGAACAGGTGAAGGCTCATTTTCAGCCATTTTTCCTGGCGACTGCAAATTTCGCCCAGTGTCTGCTGGCAGCAAAGCTGCTTCTCACCTTGGTAGTGCTCACACTGGAGCGCCAACATCTGCAAGAAACAGAATGCAAAATAACTTTGCTATTTACTGGACGTGCTGTTTGGCCCTAAAGTTTATCATACCCACAATGGTTTTGGAATATTTACAGTAAATGAAGACTGCCAAAATGGCCACAACGCTGTCCCTGAGTCAGAAAAACTCCAGCTTAACCCACTACAGAGAATGTTAGAGCATCAAGTGTTCACTGCTCAACTACGACCTATGCAGATAACTTTTCATTGTAAATTAATTTCCAGCTTGAAGAGAGATTTTCAGACAGATGACAGAGGTGAGACACTGCAGACAGATGACAGCGTGGCCTACAGTAGGTGACATGGATCAGATTTGACAAGTGATGATCATTATGAGAGACGAGGCAGAAGAGACAGACACAAGTGATGAGGTGATGTGATGAGATCAAAAACATGATAGAGGTAAGACAGATGAAATACATGATGACGATGAGACCATTGTAAGAGTTCAGAAAGATGTCAGAAATAAGACACTTTAGATAGATAATAAAGGTACGATACATACAACACACAAACAGAACAAATAAATGTCTCACATTCGACCACAGCTTCAAATCAGCATGCAGCTCCTCCACTGACGTTTTATCATATTTTGCATCAGCAGACCTTAAAAAAAGACAAGGGTTTATATTAATAGATAATCACAAAATGTGAAATATTTCCCATTGTTATTCCAGCTTTTCTTACTTATTTTTTGTGGTGCAGAAGGAAAGCCACTTGGCGATGCCTTGCTGAGTGCTACTGATGGTTGCACACTGAGCATGCTCAGTCTGCTTCAGCTGCGACATGAGAGCAGTCAGCTGCTCTTTCCAGCGGTCATTAAGCTCCATAATGTTCTTAAGGTCTTCTGTATCCTAAAGCAGGAGGGTCACTGTCATAGTCAGATTCTAACTGAATCATCATTTGCAAAGCAATCTGTATCTGTGGCATTAAGTATTAAGAAAAATGTTAAGAAATAGGAAGTGAATATTTACCGTTGACGTGAGGAAAAGAATGCAGTGTTCTGCTGTCTTGAACCAGCTTTGCTCGATGGTATGCAGCCGACTGACCAGCTGCAGCTTCTTCACACTGATCACCTAACAGTCATAAAAACACAACAAACACTTCTGGATCAATCATTTTATTTTTACTGAGCATCTTTGAGCAGAATTTTGATCCTCAGAATCTAAAAATTATTGTCGTAGAAATTTAATGTTGAAACAGTAAATCCACCATGAGCAGCTCTGAGCACACTATAAAATCATATTTACTGATAAACATAGTGGAAACAGCAAAATCTTTGTCCTGCTATCTGCCTTATCACTATACTTTGTTGACTGTGGCCTCCATTGGTGCATATTGACCAATTTCTCATCCTCATTTCTGATCCATCACCAAAGTCAGATCACATTATTTCTTCAGCATAACAATAATACACCTTCACATAAAACAGCACACGAGAAATGAGTCAAACTGAATGAAAAAAATGACGCCATGGCCTCACATACCTTGAGGGCAAGGCAGAAGGTGAGCTGGCTCCAGCAGTCTCTGTCCTCTGTCATCTGGAGCAGCTGAGCCTCAAGGCGAGCCCTCTGCAGCTCATACAGCTCATGATAACCCTGGACCACACTAGGAGGAGCACATAGATCATTCGGGAGGTCACATATTGTGCTTTTGCACTGCAATCCTACTAAACTGCTGCTGCACTTATTCTTCATCCTAGAAGATGGATGTTGTGAGAGATCTCTTTACTTAGCCCCTCATAACACATATTTTCTGGCAGTAATAAATAAGGACAAAAACGACCGTGTACAGCAGGCATGCACTGATGGTAGAACCAGACATCAATCTGTTGTCTGTGTAATCGTCCCGACAGTAAAACACTTCTCTGTAGTTTTGTGTAATTTATTTGCTGAAGGTGCAAATAAGCTTGAAATAAATCTGTTACATTGAACAGATAAATAAGGTTCTTGATTTGGCTTAATTTTGCATCAACTTGATGAATTTGTGACAGAGACTGAATGAACTGAAGGCCACGTCGGTGCTTTGACAGACTTACTCTGAGTTGGTGTGAGTCTGCTTGAGTGCCTCAGCCAGCTGCCGGTGAGCGAGCTCCGCCTGATGGGAAACAAAGGCATCGTGGTTCCTGATTTTGGACAGTTCCCTGTGAAGACAACACAGAATGAGCACAGACACGTCTTTCATATTCACACATTTGTATTGACTGATATTATTTAA